GAGGACCTACGGTGCGATTCGTGTGATTTTATGATGCGCGGTGCTAAAATTCTTAAAAACCCAATGGTTTTTGGAGATTTCGGCGTGCGCGCGCGAAGAAAAAACGAATGTGTCCCGCATGGTATTATTTGACAGGGATGATGGCCCTGGCAGGTGCGCAACCGTTGTCGCAGAAGTTCGAAAAAGTTGCTCGCAAAAGCCCGTTTGACAGAATTGTTTAAAAAGTGTTGGTTTTCCTACGAATCCGCAAGAGCGCGCGGAAGAACATTTTGACAATTTTTTCTTAAAAAACCATTGGGTTTTTGATGTTTTTATGTTAAAATCGCTTACGAAACCTAAGGTTTTGGAAGGATTTCGTCTTGCGCGCACGAATGTCCACTTTACCTTATTTTTTGCAAGGGATTCTTGCAATTTGATCAAGTAAGAACAAGAATTTTCATTTTATAGTATTTTTTACAAGGGAAAGCGGGGGGGAACAAAACAACCGGATCCGGACACAATCGTTTTGCCTGAGACTTCCTCACGAAAATGATGAAAATGTAGCTGCGGCCTAGGCGCGGCGGGGGGGCCGTGCACCAGGGGTCCCAACAATAATTATTCTTTAGAAGAATAATGTTCAACAACAACAACAACAATCATTTAAGACTGGGGACACTCCGTTCTCACCAGTGCCAGGGTTTTCATAGGAGGCGGGCAATACCCCCACTTTGTGGGGGGGCCGGTTCAAGCTCTACCAAGTTTCCAAACGACTCTTCGCCACCACCCACACCCAGCTTCCCGCCCTATGACGTTCGGACACTTCACTTCGTGGCCTGCGGACGACCTTGGCTACTACACTGGGCATGGGTACAGATGTTGTTCGAGAACCTACGGTGCGATTCGTATGATTTTCTGTTGCGCGGTGCTAAAATTCCTAAGAAACCCAATGATTTTTGAAGATTTCGGCGTGCGCGCGCGAAGAAAAAACGAATGTGTCCCACATGGTATTATTTGACAGGGATGATGGCCCTGGCAGGCGCGCAACCTTTGTTGCAGAAGTTCGAAGCACGTGAAAAAGTTGCTCGCAAGAGCCCGTTTGACAGAAATGTTGAAAAAGTATTGGGTTTCCTAAGAAATCCGCAAGAGCGCGCGGGGTGAATTTTTGAAACCCTTTTTTTGAAAAACCATTGGGTTTTTCATGTTTTTATGTGAAAATCGCTACGAAGACTAAGGTTTTGGAAGGATTTCGTCTTGCGCGCGCGAATGTGCACTTCGTGTCATTTTTTGCAAGGGATTCTTGAAGTTTGGTCATGTTAGAACAAGAAATGTCCACTTTGCCTTATTTTTTGCAAGGGAAAACCGATCGTAACAACACAACCGGATCCGGACACCCACGTTTTGCCTGAGACTTCCTCACGAAAATGATGAAAATGTGGCTGCGGCCTAGGCGCGGCGGGGGGGGCGCGCGCACCAGGGGCCCCAACAATAATTATTCTTTAGAATTAATAATGTTCAACAACAACAACAAGAACAACAACAACAACAACAACAACAACGACAACGACAACGACAACGACAACAACAATAGCAACAATCATGTTAAGACTGTTCGCCCTTACCTGCTCGAGTGTCCAATAACGCGTAGTCCCGAACCCTCGATACCCGCCCTCTTCGTCTTCGATCGAACCCTTTTTGGGGGGTATACCTTTCTTCCGTGCAGGCCGGGCCCCGGCAAGCGGCGGGGCGGCCGCGGTCCGTCGGCCTGGCCAGCGGCAGCGCTGATCGGCGGGGCGGCCGCGGACCGTCGACCCGACCCCAAGAGGGACGGACAGGGGACCGACCACGACGACGACGACGACGACGACGACGACGTCGAAGACGACGGCGACGACGACGACGACGGCGACGACGACGACGAGCGAAAGCGACGGCGAGAGCGAACGACAGCAGGGCCACGAAGGACACGAAGTAGGCCACGAAGGGCGACAGCGGGGACTCGAAGGGAATGCGAATGGGGCCACGAAGAGCGCGAACGTGCGGGGGCCACGAAGCGCAGATAATGCGGGGCCACAGAAGGCAACGATGGGGCCACTGAGGGTAGCAACTGGGCCACGTAGGACAATGAGGGGGCCACAAGCGGCGACAGCGGGGCCACGAAGGGCATGCACATGGGGCCACAACGGGCGCGAACGAGCGGGGGGCACGAAGGGCATACGTATGTTGGGCCGCGGAGGGCAAGGACGGGGCCACTGAGGGCAGCAACGGGGCCACGAAGGGCAGCGAGGGGGCCACGAAGGGCGACAGCGGAGCCACGAAGGGCATGCATATGGGGCCACCACGGGCGCGAACGAGCGGGGGCCACAAAGGGCATACATATATGAGGCCACGAAGGGCAGCGACGGGGCCACGAAGGGATGCAAAGGGGCCACGACGGGGAGCGAGGGGGCCACGAAGGGCTGCAAAGGGGCCACGAAGGGCTGCAACGGGGCCACGAAAGGCAGCGACGGGGCCACGAAGGGCTGCAACGGGGCCACGAAACAAAGCGAGGGGGCCACGAAGGGCAGCGAGGAGCCCACGAAGGGCTGCAACGGGGCAGCGAAACAAAGCGAAGGGGCCACGAACGGCTGCAACGGGGCCACGAAACAAAGCGAAGGGGGCCACGAAGGGTTGCAACGGGGCCACGAAGGGCAGCGAGATCCCGATTCCTAGGTAATCTGTGAGGGAGTCCTACGCGTGAGCGCGACTCCTGGGTGCCTGGGTGTCGGGAACGCGGCGCTTGAGTAAATTGCAAGAAATTCCAACGCAAGGGCGCTGTTCGTCCGTAAATTGCAAGCAAGTCTCCAGCGAGAGCGCGACTCCAGAGCGCCGGGAGAGCGATACCTTAATAAATTGTAAGGAAATCCCAAGGGAGAGCGCGATGCCTGAATAGAATGCGAAGAAGTCTCGGGCGGGAGCGGGGGTCTTGGCTAAATCGTGAGGAAGTCTCAGGCGGGAGCCGTTGATGTTGTAACCCAAGGGCCAGGGGCCCAGTTTGAGCCTCAAGACTCTCCCTGTCAGAAAACAGGGTGCGAGCGTCGAGGGGCACACTTTGATTGAGAAAAATGTATTCTCCGGTGGGGGGATCAACCATAATTATTCTTCAGAAAATGAAAATTCAACAACAACAACAACAACAACAACAACAACAACAACAACAACAACAACAACAACAACAACAACAGCAGCAGCAGCAGTAGCAGCAGCAGCAACAACAACAACAACAGCAACAACAACAGCAACAACAACAGCAGCAGCAACGACAACAACAATCACAACAACAACAACAACAACAGCAGCAGCAGCAGCAACAACAACAACAACAACAACAACAACAACAACAACAACAACAACAACAACAACAACAACAACAACAACGACAACCACAACCACAGCAGCTGCAGCAGCATTACAACAACAGCAGCAACAACAACCACAACAGCAACAGCAACAGCAACAGCAACAACAATCAGTATAAAATTGTTCGCTCTTACTTGTCCGTGTGTCATTCAAAACGAATTCCCCACACCCTCGATACCCGCCGTTTTTGTCTTCGATTACACCATCCTTGAAGGGATTATTTCTCTTTGCGGGGGGTGGTGGGCTTAGACAGGCGGGCAAACCTGAACGGGCGGAGGATCCTTCGTGGGCGTAAATGTGCCCGCCATTGCAATTCGTGGGCCCTGCAAAAAGAGGAGGGGGAGAACGAGGCGGGCGCCCACGAGCGGGAGCCCACGGGCAGGAGCCCACGACGGGCGGGCGATCCCCTGACGGGCGGGTCGGGCGGGTGGGACATTCAAGCGGGATGCCTGAGTATGGCGAGAGCGCGATTACTAAGTAAATTGTGACGGCGTCCTTGGCGCAGCGTGTTTCCTGAGCGTCGAAAGCGCGATTTCTGAATAAATTGCGTGGAAGTCACAGGCGAGAGCGCAAGCCCTGAATAAAATGTGAGGGGCTCTCTGGCGGGAACGGGGGTCCTGCTTAAATTGTGAGGAAGTCTTGACTCACTTGCGAGGAAGTCTCAAGCGGGAGCGCCGTTCCAGAGTAAATTGTATGGAGGTCTCAGATGGTAGCGGGGGTCCTGATTAAATTGCGACGAAATCAAAAGCGGGAGCACCGATCCTGAGTAAATTGTGAGGAAGTCTCAGGCGGGAGCGGGAGTCCTGAGAAATTTGGAGCAAATCTCAATCGGGAGCCGTTGTTGTTGCAGTCGGGGGGGCCAGTGGCCCAGTTTGAGCATCAAGACTTTCCCTGTCAGAAGACCGGGTGCGAGCGTCGAGGGGCACACTTTGATTGAGAAGAAACAGTCTGCACCAGTGCGGGGGGATCAACAAGAATTTTTCAGGAATGAAAGCTCAACACTAACAACAAAAACCACAACAACAACAACAACAACAACAACAACCACAACCACAACCACAACCACAACAACAACAACAACAACAACAACAACAACAACAACAGCAGCAGCAGCAGCAGCAGAAGCAGCAGCAACAATAACACCAACAACAGCAACACAACAACAGCAGCAGCAGCAACAACAGCAGAAGCAGCAACAACAGCAGCAGCAACATTTCAAGACTGTTCGCTATTACATGTACGCGTGCTGGTCAAAACGTAGATCCCAAACCCTGGATACCCGCCCTCCTCGTCGTCGATAGCAACCCCCTGGGGGTATGCCTTCCATACCTGGAACCTCCTCCTCCTCCTCCTCCTCCTCCTCCTCCTCCTCATCATCATCATCATCCTCCCCCTGCTCCTCATGTTGCTCCTCCTCCTCCTCCTCCTCCTCATCATCCTCCTCCTGCTCCTCCTCCTGCTCCTTCTCCTCCTCCTGCTCCTCCTCCTCCTCCCCTCTCCTCCTTATTCCTCTCTCCTCCTCCTCTCCTCCTCCTCCTCCTCCCATCCTGTTCCTCCTCCTCCTCCTGCACCTCCTCATCCTCCTGCTCCTCCTCCTCCTGGTCCTCTCCTTCCCCCGCCCTGTCCTGGATTGCTGCCAGCACTCTCGGCATGTGCTCGTCGTGCAGGGCCTGGGGCGGGGGCGGAGCGGCGGCCTCGCACGAGGAGCGAGGAGCGACGACTCGTCGTGCTTCGTGGCGAGCTGCGGTCGAGGCGTGGTACCGCCGCGAGGCCCCCAGAGGGCGCCAAGAAGGCCCGAGGGAGCCACCAAGAGGGCTCCTCCGCCTCATCCTCCTCCTCCGCCTCCTCCGCCTCCTCCTCCTCCTCCTCCTCCTCCTCCTCCTCCTCCTCCTCCTCCTCCTCTCCTCCTCCTCCTCCTCCTCCTCCTCCTCCTCCTCCTCCTCCTCCTCCTCCACCTCCTCCTCCTCCTCCTCCTCCTCCTCCTCCTCCTCCTCCTCCTCCTCCTATTCCTCATCCTCCTCCTCCTCCTGCTCCTCATCATCATCATCATCATCATCATCATCATCATCATCATCATCATCATCATCATCATCATCATCATCATCATCAGCAGCAGCAGTCGCATCATCCTCCTCCTGTTCCTCCTGCTCCTCCTCCTGCTCCTCCTCCTCCTCCACCTCCTCCTCCGCCTCCGCCTCCTCCTCCTCCTCCTCTACCTCCTCCTCCTTCTCCTCCTCCATTCCTTCTCCCTACAGACAGCTGCGCCCTGTAACACCCCGAGGCAGGTCCAAAGGGCGGGCCAGGCGCTTCGCCCGAGGCGTCCTCACAGTGTATGATTCTGAAGCGGACGGATTTTCAAAACGCGGCGCTCGCCTCAGCGCCGCACACATTCGCTTTCAAACGGTTGCAAGAGCTTCATGGGTTGAGAGCGGGTCGCTTTCAAAATGTGGCTCTCGCCTTAGCGCCGCGGACATTATTGCAAAAGAGCTTCATGCACTGAGGGCGGTTAGTCTTGTTCAAAATGTGGCTCTCGCCTTAGCGCCGCGCACGTTCGTTCTATAAGATGCAAAAGTTTCACATATTCCCATGGTTACCGGACAAGAGATGGTGCGTTGGTGCGACTCAGGATTGTCAATCGCACCAGTTACCTTGATTCGCGGTGCTGGGGTCCCAGGACTGGCGTTCTGGCACAATTCAGGATCGCCAAGGCGTAACAGTCAGGTTCACTCGTGGCGTTGAAGTCCTGAGAACGGTGTTTTGGCACGCTTCGAGATTTTCACCTGAAGATCATCGAGCCTGCCCGGGAGCTCTGGGAGACGCTGGAGAGGAGCCAAAACTACATCGAGGCGCTGACGGCGTTCCGCCCCAACGAGACCGCGCGGGAGCTGATCCTCGCGACCGGCACTGACGACGGAACTGAGGGCGAAGCGGCTGCGCAGGCTGCCGGCACCCCGCCGACCGAGCTCGAGGCGCGAACCTGATGCGTTCGCCGAAGGCGACAACGTGTGCTGCCCTGACTGGGACGCACAAGGACCTACTAGTACGACGATTCCTCCTCGGAAGCGTGCGTCCGACCCAAACACACAGCATAACCGTGCTGTAAAAAGATCGCTTCCCGGGCGCTACGGCCGGAAAGCGCCCGCCACGACGCAGATACTACAAGATGTATTTCCAGCTAGCCACCTCCCGCAGCCGCTGCCCGCCTTCCACGACGATGTTCCATGCAGTACAGTAGGGGCCCGACCCCAAGAAACCTTCCATTAATACAAAGAAAAAACCTGAGACCCCAGGACATCCACTGATGTTTGGTGTGGGAGCGTCGCGCTCTACATCGTAAAACCATCGAAACCCAAGAAACCCAGGGCACCCTCAAGCAGGGTGTTTCTTGGCATGGGTCTCCCCTGTACCCGTCTCGCGAAGAGGGGCCAGGCCGACGGGTCGGCAGAAGGCAGCTAACGACAGAGGGCACGACAAGGCAGAGGAGGCCAAGGAGCGACGGACGAGAAGCTGCTGGACGAGAGTGCCTTCGCCGACCTCGACGAGATGCCGATCGAGGAGGTGCAGTTGATGGTGCCGGTCATGATGAAAATACTGCTGAACCTCGGATTGCGCCAGTGCCAGACGGACTGCATCTTTCTGACGACGATCCTCGTGCCAGTGGCCCTTCGGCCCATCATCAAAGCGAAGGACCGATGCCGAGTCTGGGCGACCAAGAGGCAGGAGCTCCAAGCCGAGGGGAAGGCGGATAGCGACCCGAGGAAGTTCGGCACGATCGGCTGTGGGGCGCTGGTGGGCCTCATCGAGGTCCTCGAGAACGAAGGAGGCGGAGCTGGTCGCACGGTCAAGGTCATCTTAGGCAAACTGAAGACGGAGCTGCAAGACCTACCCCTGGACGTGAGCGAGCTCTAGTTCCCATTCGTCAAGGTGGCATTAACCTACACGGACACGCACGCGAAGGTGGTCATGGGAAGTCATCCGGCTCGGAGCTGGTAGCAGTGCCTTGATCCGCTGGGCGGCGAGATGAAGTCAGGAATGACACCAAGCTCGCGGCCTTCGAGGAGATCTAGGACGATTTACCCTCGTCGCCAGCTGCGGTATCGTCGGCCTCAGGGCGGCATGCGATGCTGGTGCTGCTATCCCCGATGGCAGTCCGCGCCCAGGGTCTAGGTTGACCGAGTCGGCGGGGCAAGGCCGTTTCGCTGGAACCTCGCCGCCCGCTGCGGTGTTGTCGGCATAAGGGCGACGTGCGATGTCGAGTGCTGCTGTCGGTGCCGATAGCAGGCAACGATCGGGGTCCATGTTGACCGTGTCGGCATCGCTGTTTTGCCGTGTCAACCTCGACCGTACAAGAGACGGATGGGGGAGTGGACGACCAGCCAGTGTAGCGTCGACGCGAGACTACGGTGCAACGTATGCTGAGAGCTGCCGCTGGCCCGTTCGATCCCAAGGAAGGGACTCCCAGTGAGTCTCAGGAGTGCGAGATGAACGTTCTAGCCCTTGATCCCCTCCCTCCACCCCCAACCCCCGAATGCAAGGATTATCGGGTCGGGCGAAAGGGGGGGATAGCAAAGGAGGGGTTTGAGAATCAGCTCACGTAGCTGATTTTCTTGGCGCCTCCCGGCGCCAGATGGGGCGATGTATCGAGGAATGGGCCCCTCGGTGAGGCCGAAACCAGCTGCATGCAGCAAATTTCGTACCCCCCTTCCCAGTCCCCCCCTTTCGTCCGGCCCGAGATTAGATCTCGTGCTGACCCCCATGATTCGGCGGTGGACAAACCTCCCTTTAGCAAACCTCCCCTTAGTGAAAACGGCCTGGGACCGAAACCGGCGGACCTGGACCCGCGAAAACAACGGCCGCGACGCCCTCTCGCGAAGCGAACACGGCCAAGTCCTCGATCGACGTGTCAGGGCAGGAGGTCTGCCCACCCCCGAATGAGCACCCTCCCCGCTCGTCCCCACTCGCTGCGAGTGCTCCTGCGGGTAGTCCCCCGCTCGCTGCCGCTTTTCTCCCCTGCCCTGCCCGAGTCCTCCGTGCCGAGCCGCCCTGAACCACCCCGGCCTCCGCGGTCTCCCCCCCCCAAGCGCCCCAGGCAGGCCTCGAGCACGAAGGCTCTCGATGGGCCTGTTTCCCACCACCACCATACAAGTTGGAGGGGGATAGGGGTCCTCCTCCTCCTCCTCCTCCTCCTCCTCGTCCTCCTCCTTCCCCCCTCCAACTTATGGTGGTGGTGGTGGTTGTTGAAAACGGGCCCATCAGTTCTGGCACAACCGAGGGCACTTGGATGGGAGTCCGCTAGGGCTCACTCGCTCGCGTCTCTCTGTGGCCCAGAAGGCAGTAGACCGGGTCCCTGGAACCCTGGGTCTTGTTGGGCGGGCTTGTCCCGAAGTCTTCGGTCGTACGGGCCGAGCCTGGTGCACGCCGATTTTAGCTAACTCCAGCACGCACCAAAGGTTGCGTTCGTCGGTTCCTCCATCACCCGGCCGACTCAAACGCAGGACGCATGGGGGGCCATCGGGGAGGAAAGAACTTCTGTGGCGCGCTGAAGAACCCAAGGGGTCAGGTTTCCGCGGAAAGAAAGAAATCCCTGGCGAGGGGTTCGAGCATGGGGGTGACCCCCGTCTCAAATTCCAGAAGAAGAATTAACTCTCAGCCGCGGAGGAAAAGCACGAGAGTCCAGATTGCAACTGTAATGCACCAACACTCTAGAAGTAGTTGTGGTAACGTCGTCATATACTAGTTGCACAAGTTACTAGCTGCCTGAACCCAGGGGGGTCAGGCGCACTCTAGTATTAACTGCGCGCTCGTACATGCTAGTAGTAATCGAGTTCAGGGTTCCAATGACAAGGCGCGCGCGGAAGAAGGAGAATCATCCATGCGCCGCCAGGGTTCCAGACTTAAGTGGTCGCCGCAAACAGGGACCTCCGCGGAAGAAAGAAAAGGAAATCCAGACGGGGGGGTAGGAGACAGGGAATTAGTCGGGAAGGTGATGATCCTCCTCATACTCTTTGAACTCATCCCGTCCTCTTCAGAATCCCCTTGTTCAGATCCTCTTCCTCCTCCCCCTCCTCGTCTCCTCCTCCTCCTCCTCCTCATCATCATCATAATATTGATTATCCACCCTTTCATCCCCATCCCCCTTTATCCTCTTACATCCTGCCCATATTGTCCTCCACCTCATTATCCCCACTACCACCACCATCGCCATCCTCATTCTCCTCAACCTCCTCATCATCCCCGTCGTCTTCATCGCCACCATCATCGCCGTCAACTGTATCCCTCTCCTCCTCCCAATCCCTCCCTCCGAAACTGCCCCGATGGCGGTATCTGCGGCATCCGCGATCGGATCGCAACGAGTCCTGCGCCCTGTTAAGCTCGTCAATGCTGACGTAGTACTCGTGCTCAGCTAGCCTGGCCTGGCGAATAAGGGGGGCGAATGGAAAACGGAGAGGAGAATGAGGAAACGCAGCGATTTTTCGACGGTGCCCGGTAGCTTTCTGGAAGTCCTCCGAGGTTTCCATCAGATTCCCAAAGAGTTCTGGGAGCTCCAACGTTCCCCAATTTTCTCGAAGGTGTCCACAGACTTCAGGCGAGGAGGAGGCGGCGGGAGAGGAAGATGGGAAGAACGGGGAGCAGGAGGACGAGCAAGAAGAAGAGGAGCGGGAAGATAGACTCAGCGGGCTTCCGCTCACTGACCGCACAAGACAACAGAAGCAGGAGGCCCATGAGAAGGAGAACAGAGAGGAGGAGCAGGATGACCACGCACGCCGAGGCATCAAAACTTGCGGTCAGTTGTCTGCTGCTGCCCTGCCGCGCGCTGCTGTGCCCAGCGCCGCGTGTCTGAGAGGGATCGTCGCCACGCGGCCGAGTCCACGTTCGCTTCTTCCCGGGGGCTAGCGGGTCCCGGGAGAAAACGGGCCCGGGACCCCGGGGCCTTCCCCCGGGACCCGCTCTTCATCCCGAGCCGCTTCCGGACAGTCCCGCGCCCCGCAGAGGCCCCGAGAGCCCGGAGACGGCGAATTTTAACCTCAGGGCCCGCTTCCCCCAGGGCCCGCTTCCCCCCCTGGCGAGGTTTCCCCTCTCTGAAAGGGGCCCCAGGACACACAAATGAATACACGCATGTAAAAATATTCCCCTGATTTTCCTATATTTTTTGAGGAGGGGGGTTTTCCCCCCCCACTTCCCATACTTTCCCACATTTTCCTAGGAGTCGACGATTAGTTGTGTCTATGTGTTTTCCCAACCATCCTGTTGTGTTGGGTCCTCGTTTTGAAGAGACGGTGGCCCGCGTCTCCTCTCCTCTCCTCCTCCTCCTCCTCGCCCATTTCGGTACACCCTCACACGCTTCGTGGCCCCATAGGGAGCCCCACCGAAGGCCCCAGTGGCAGCGTTTGCATGGCGGCCCCGCCCCATTGCGGCACACCCCTCACGAGGATCGTGGCCCCATAGGGAGCTCCACCAAAGGCCCCAGTGGCAGCGTTCGCATGGCGGCCCCGCCCCATGTCGGCACACCCCTCACGAGGATCGTGGCCCCATAGCGAGCTCCACCGAAGGCCCCAGTGGCAGCGTTCGCGTGGCGGCCCCGCCCCATTTCGGCGCACCCCTCACGAGGATCGTGGCCCCATAGGGAGCTCCGCCGGATGCCCCAGTGGCAGCGTTCGCATGGCGGCCCCGCCCCATTGCGGCACACCCCTCACGAGGATCGTGGCCCCATAGGGAGCTCCGCCGAAGGCCCCAGTGGCAGCGTTCGCATGGCGGCCTCGGGCCATTTCGGCGCACCCCTCACGAGGATCGTGGCCCCATAGGGAGCTCCACCGAAGGCCCCAGTGGCAGCGTTCGCATGGCGGCCCCGCCCCATTTCAGCACACCCCTCACGAGGATCTTGGTCCCATAGGGAGCTCCACCGAAGGCCCCAGTGGCAGCGTTCGCATGGCGGCCCCGCCCCATTTTGGCGCACCCCTCACACGGCTCGTGGCCCCATAGGGAGCTCAACCGAAGGCCCCAGTGGCAGGGTTCGCATGGCGGCCTCGGGCCATTTCGGCACACCTCCCACGAGGATCGTGGCCACATAGGAGCTCCAGCGAAGGCCACAGTGGCAGCGTTCGCATGGCGGCCCCGCCCCATGTCGGCACACCCCTCACACGGTTCGCGGCCCCACAGGGAGCTCCACCGAAGGTGCCAGTGGCAGCGTTCGCATGGCGGCCCCGCCCCATTTCGGCACACCCCTCGTGAGGATCGTGGCCCCATAGGGAACTCCACCGAAGGCGCCAGCGGCAGCCTTCGCGTGGCGGCCCCGCCCCATTTCGGCACACCCCTCACGAGGATCGTGGCCCCATAATGAGCCCCACCGAAAGCTCCAGTGGCAGAGTTCGCATGGCGACCCCGCCCCATTTTGGCACACCCCTCACGAGGATCGTGGCCCCATAGGGAGCTCCACCGAAGGCCCCAGTGGCAGCGTTCGCATGGCGGCCTCGGGCCATTTCGGCACACCTCTCACGAGGATCGTGGCCCCATAAGGGAGCTCCACCAAAGGCCCCAGTGGCAGCGTTCGCACGGCGGCGTCGGGCCATTTCGGCACACCCCTCACGAGGATCGTGGCCCCATTGTTGTGCTGGTTCAGCAACCGCGCCTGGGCGTCGTACTGCGCCTTGTCGACGTGCAACGCCACCTCCTCCCTCATGGCTCTCAAGGCCCTCTCCTGCTTCTGCTCCTCGGTGAGAGGGACGCCGTCCTTGTCGTCGTCGGCGCCCGCGCAGACGGCCACGAACGTGTCCCTGAGCATGTCGGGCTCCGGCGGGAAGCCGTGGCCACATAGGGAGCGCGGGCGAAGATGGCATTTACAATTGCGGTATTCACAACTGCATATGGTTGGGTCCTTCGCCAGGTTAATTTGCCTCCTGACTTTCGTACCCTGACTACTTCTTGACTACTTCTGAACACTCCTCCCGCCGAGGGACATGCCCGACTGAAGCTCGGGAGCGAGGAGCAGCAGCCAGCAGCAGCAGCAGCAGCAGCAGCAGCAGCCAGATCGGGGGACGCCGACTGCCCGCCTGCGCCGCCGACCCTGGCCGGGCCCTTCCCAGATCCAGGGTCGATGCACACACCTGCTGCGGGTTCGTGCCGAGTCGACCTGGGCGGTGGTCCCGGACACCGCGGGGATCGTTCCACCTTGAACGATCGGCCTTTCCGCAACGTCAGATCGTTTAACAGCGACCGACTCTGGGTAGCCAGCGACGTTCCATATGGAACGCTGGCGGCGGGGTCGCCGCTGGTCGACAAGACACGAGCCTACCCGATCTGGCTAAGCCCGGAGGGGGGGCGTACCCATCGATCCTGGACTGGCCTGGCTAGGATCGACGTCGGTACAGTAGGGGCTCGACCACAAGAAACCTTCCACAAGAAACCCAACCCTGAGACCCCAGGACGTCCATTGAGTGTTGGTGTGGGAACGTCACGCTTTCCATCGCGAAACCATCGAGACCCAGAAACCCAGGGCACCCTGGAGGCAAGCAGGGTGTTTCTTGGCATGGTATCCGCTGTAAGCCGAAGGAGGGGCGTGCCCCTCCATCCTGGGCACCTGCACTGGGCTGGCCAGGATCGCTGTCGGCAGATCGTCTTAGGTCGCCTCCATCCGCGCGTCGCGCCCAGAGGTGCGCGACGCGCAGCTACCCTCGCGCCCTCGCAGGGCCCGGAGAAAACCAGCTCCTTGGCCCAGGCCGCCACTCGTGGAGCGCGATCGCGCGATCACCCCCGCGCCCCCGGGGGTGACCTGAGCGGTTGGAGCCCCAACGGCACGAGGCAGAGACAGTGGAGGCCTCCCAGATGGGGTCGGAATAGATGGGGTCGGAGGATCGCGCCGCATCGCCGACGCATCGGCGATACATCGGCAACGCATCGACGATGCATCGACGATGCATCGACGACGTCGGCGATGCGTCGGCGACGCCGGCGTGGAGAAGATCGGGTTCCA